GAGGAGGGGGTGGGGTGGGGAGGAGGGGGGTGGGAGGGAGGAGGGGGGTGCGGGTGGGGAGGGTACAAGTACAAGTACGTGGTACCGATTTTAGATTTTAGGTTTAGATTTGAATGAAATCAAATTCAAGTTGAGAGTTTCCCCTGGATGTTTGCTTCTGTGGGTTTCGGATAGGTGGCATCTTGTGGCCTAAGGGGGATGGCGGTGAGCGCGGGTAAAACCAAACCCCAATGTGTGCCGTACGGCGCGTTATCAAGGGGGGCATGAGGAGAAATATAGGAATGGCGAAACGCTGCCAGAGCCTCAAGGGGGGGGTGAGAGGAGGAGGAGCAGGGGCAGGACGGGCAGCAAGGGCCCCGAAAACTAACTTGAATTGTGCATGCGTATGTGTGCGTGCGTGCGTGTCTGCGTGCGTGCGTGCGTATGTGCGTATGTGTGCGTGCGTGCGTGTGTTTTGCCCCTCAGGTTTCCCGGCTTCCCCACATCGACTACGATCAGATGAGGGATCCGCAGTACCGGATGCAGCTCAAGGCACGGAGCAAGCAGGGCAGGCTAGGTGGGTTGTTGGCGGGGGAGGGCAGGTTGGTTGGTTGGTTGGTTGGTTGGTTGGTTGGTTGGTTGGTTGGGAAATGCGTAGAGGTTGGGAAAGGGGGGAAAAGACGGGAAAGTGGGCGATGATGTTGGCGGCCGCTGGGGCCGTTCGGGGTTTTTCGTTCGTGCTCCTGCCGTACTGGTGCCCTGTACGTTCGGCCGTTGACCTTCTGTGGGTCCTGGCGAAGGGGAACTGGCGGCTCATATCGCAAAACGGGTTTCGGAGCAGGGGGTTGTTCGGGCGGCAGTATTCTGTGGCCAGCAGCAGTCGAGCAGCTTGGGGCGCATATCGGCCTCTATCATTCACTGATATATGTGATTGCATATCATTTAACATATAGGCGAAATAGGGGACATGAATTCAATCCGCCTCAACCCCAGGTCCAACCCCCCACACCTCCCCTCGCTCCCCCCCCCATACATACATACATACGGACATACACGTTTGCGCACCCCCCACAGCAGTGCTCAGTCCCGTCATCAATGACGAGGTGGAGGACGTGGCGCCCGCCCGGGGGAGGCGGCGGCCTTGGAAGCCGCTACATATCTAGACCGACAGATAGACAGATGAACAGACTGATGAACAGACAGACAGACAGATAGACACACAGGTGAAATTACAGATGGACAGACAGACAAGCAGACAGACGGACAGGCCTTTCTTTTCCTTCTTCTTTATCACCACCGCAAACAGCTTCATTTCTCGGGGCGGCAGCCAGTTGCGCATTGGTTGTTTGGTTTTCAGTTGCCTTTTAGTATCAGTTGTCAGTTGTTGGTTGTCCGCCAGCCGGTTGTGTACCAGGGCAGCTTGCTAGAGCATTAACACCATCACATCAATACTGCGATACATTATTATTATCATTATTATAATACTGCTATTACCATTATATATCAGAAATGAAGCAGAAGCAGCAAGATTGATTCAGGAGTTGGTAGTAGTAGCGGATTATTATTGCTATAATATCCTATTTTCGTAGTTTGCTTTGGCAGGTGGGCACACAGCAGGAGGCGGGTTGCATTGCGGTTGGTTGGTTGGTTGGTTGGATGGTTGTTGTCTGCTAGTTCATTATTGCGTACGGCATTTTGTATGAAGAAGGGAGTTTGGCGCACGGCAAGTAACACGTCCGTTGCGGTGGTGGTTGACGTCAACGTGTGGCTCGTGCGGGTGGGGTGCTGCTCAGGGGCTCTCAGGCGGCAGCCGCAGGAAAGAAAGGGGGAAGGCAAGGAAGGGGAAATTAAAGCACAGCGACGACAGCGGTGCGGTTTTTTTTAGGGTTTTTGTGATCTGGGGGGTTGGGATGGTGAACAGTAATAACTCCGCCAATCCGAAAATCCGCAAAAGCTGCTGTACGGCAACATTCACGACATTCACGACATAATCCTCGCCACCGGTTTCCGTACCGGGGCTCGGCAGCTACTCTGCCGCCGCCGCTGCCGCTGCTGCTGCTGGCGGGCCGGTATCATATGGCATGTACGGCATGCTGCCTTGCAATCGGGCGGCGGCGGCGGCGGCGGCGGCCGGCTGTAGCTGGTCTGTCCATCTGTGCTAATGCTGATTTCCTCCGATGAGGACGGATGCAGTGCAATACACATGACCTGGCGCCCCGCACAGCCCCTCCCGCTTGTTTGTCTGTCTGTCTGTCTGTCCACCTGTCACAGCCATGTCGTCTGTCCATGTCATCCGGGTCTAGGGTTCAGTTAAAGGTCGTTTGTTGTCGGTTGGCAGTTAGTAAGGTGACTGCGGGTGTGTAGGAGTGTGGCTGTAAGGGTATATGTCTGGGTGTGTGTATGTTGTGTGTTGTGGAGCAGTGCGCGTTGATGTAGTCAATTTCTGAAGATGGAGGGCAGCAGCGGCAGCTGTTGCAGGTTAGCAGAGTAGCAGGAACGGGGCGGCGACGGCCGCCAGCGGCGGCAACAACGGTACCAACTACCAGCAGCAGTAGCACCAGCAGCAGCAAAGAAAGCAGCGGCGACGGAACTGACGGTAGCAGGACGGGCCGGGGTTTACGGCTTCATACCGTACGGCGTGTTGTACGTTACTGCCGTATATTTGTATACGCTTATCTGTACCCTGCACTGTTGCAGTGTCCTGCTTTGTATTTACGACATCGTACTGTAGTACAGTCCAAATCTTGGGTCGTACCAGACGATCCAACATTCGAGGATGCGTCTGGACAACAAACATCTACCCGTCCGTCATGTACGACAGTATACGGCTTTGCGATGTTGGCGGCGATGACGTGTCCTTACGGCACAGGATTTGATGCCCGGTGCAACGCCCGGTTGTTGAGTGGGGCTTCCGAGTGGCGATGTGTGGGTTACGTGTATGTATATATGTTGCATGTGTGTATGTATGTATGTGTGGGGGGGGGCCCTGTGTATGATGTGTGAAACAGGGGGGGTTCATATCTTCGCCCGTGGCCGCTACCCGGCGAAACCCTGCCTTCCCCGGTATTTCGGGACACCCTCATCCAGTCACCCTAGTCAACTTCTCAGTGGATCGCTCAGGTTCCGCACCCACCACCGGCATCCAACGGAATCTGCCGGGTCGACGGCGGCCCAACTCCATTCCTGGTCAGCTCACAAGTCAACTTTATCCCAGGTCACCACCGTCCATCGACTAGGGGCACTTTACCCTCCACCATCGGAAGGATTTTCTCGACCCTGACAGGTCTCGATCCCGGGATCCCCCGGGGGCATTGGTGCGTGCTCTGCCAGTAGTGCCTGACCCATGCATGTCCGTATGTATGTCCGTAATCGCGCTCGGGTCGGGTGCTAAACTAAACCACCAAGAAGTGGGCTGTGCTTGATGTGATGTCCCGATTCGAGTTTTGAGCTTGGTTGTTGTGTGATATGTTTTGGGTTGGGTTAGTTGCGGCGGTTAGTCGTGCTGCTGCAGCCCATAACGGTGCGTATAATATCAGTCACACCTTCAGGGGAAGGGCGTGCAGCGGTTGGCGGTTATTACGTACGGTTCGTTGGGGTTGCGAACTGGATCCGGAACGAAAGTATAACGAACGGGCGCCAGATCACGGTGCGGAGATGAAAAAAGAAAAAGGGGTATGAGTGAGTGTTAGCTTGGAGGGAGAGAAGAACAGCCGTTGTGGCAGTTAAGACCGTTAGGCAAGTATATTGATAAAAGAGTGAGTAGGCGGCGGGCGGGTGTCTGCGAAAAGGTCGTTGTTCCGGTTGTTGGCAGTTGTAGTGATGAGGGGCAGAGAGGGTGGGAGGAGCCTAGGGTAGGTTAGCACGGTGTATAGGTCCCGTACTCGCTGCCGTACGTATTAGTTCGTGGCATCATTGCTCTGCAAGCGAAGGCTGACAGGCGGTCTCCTGACTGGCAGGGGCCGTACCTGACTGGCAGGGGCCATAGCATATCAGCGAATGATGTGAGCGCAGGTGTCGACATAGGGTAGGGGGTCAAATAGATTGATGGCATATAATACAATAACATAGGTTGCATTGCAGATAGAATTGCTATCGCCCGTTGGGCTTCAACGGGCGATAATGAACAACGGACAATGGCAGAGATATCTTTTAAAAAGTGGAAAAAGCATTCATACCGTAGTTGCCTTTTAGGGGTTTTAGTGATTTTAGAATTTTAGTGCATATGTTGTTGTCGCGGATGATGAGCGTTTGACACTTCTCCATTTAGCCCTAGCCCTTGTAACCGTACGACGCCACTCACTCGGATTCAGTCCTTGTACGGCAAGGGGGCTATATAAACATGTGTACAGATACATGTGTATAGATACATACAAAAGCCGCTAGCAAGAGCGAAGACGGGCGGGCCGTGCTTTTCTGATTGATAAAAATGCCCAAGAGACGTACATCATACCCGTACATCATACCCGTAATCCACACCCTCCCCTCCCCCCTAAGTGCGCGTATGTACATCTTTTGAACGAATCTGCTGCAACTGCGATGATGATGTGTGTGTTTCAGAGAGAGTTTCTCAGAGGTGAGCGCTACCTGGCCAACAGGAGCCCTGCTCTTATAAGCACACTGCCAACACTGCCAACTATACTCTGTACCCGCCCGCCGCCGTCTTGGTGCGTATACGGCAAAAAAACACAACACAAAGCACACACCACGACAGCACACGTCAAGACACACGTCCCAAAAAGCTCCTCCCGAGGGCCGCGGGAGAAAAGCTCCCTACGCCCCCCCACCACCACGACCACCAGAAGCCCCCCATAAAAGCCCGCGCCACCAGCCCGGCCAATATCTAGGGACCGTAACCACAACCAGACATACCGCACAGCCGCAGCGATCATACGTATACATAGTACAACTAGGAGGCTTGGAGTCCTGTCTGTCTGTCTGTCTGTCTGTGTTCGTATGTTGTATGTTGTTACAGGGTGGTTAACTTCGCCAGCGGCCCCCTTTCCCGGGGCAGTCCCTGCTCTCCCCTGCTAGAGGGGCACCCTAATCCGTCACCCCATCCGACTTCAGAATGTATTCGTTGGGTTCGGCAACTCACCACCAGCATCCAACCAAATCTAGCGGATCAACGGCGCATCAACTTAGTTCCTGGTCAGCTCGCAAGTTGATATTATCACGTTCTACACCGTCAATATGATGGGGGGCCACCTCCCAATTCATCACTCCTCAAACACCCGAGGAGCCGGCAGGCGGATTTGAACCCGGGTCGACTGGGTCGACTGGGAGCAGAAGTCAGGCCTTAACCTCTGCCAGCCGCCTGCCTTATGTTCGTATGTATGTGTTATGCTAGTTAGGGGCCCCCGATGTGCAACAGGAGCGCCCTCCGGGGGGGGGGGAGGGGCAAAGTGTAACGACCCCCTGACTTCCCTCCCCCCTCCTCCTCACTCCCCCACCTCCTCCTCCTTCCCGCCGTCTCCCCCCTTTTCCTAAAGTCACAGCTTAGAGCTCATCAGCCTCTTGCGCGTTTTGCCCAGCTCCATCTTGGCCAGCGTCCCCAGATGCACCTCGTCGGGCCCGTCAGCAATACGCAAGGTGCGGGCGGCCGTCCAGAGCCGAGCCAGGACGTAATCCTGACTCACACCCGCCCCGCCGTGCACCTGAGAGGGACAGACAGACAGACAGACAGAGAGTACATGAACGGACAGATGTGTGTATATGTGTGTGTGTGTGTGTGTGCGGTCAAACTGAGGATTAGGCGGCTGGGGGATTGGGGGGAAATGAAGGAGGGTGGGAAGCAGATAACAACGTACTGAACACTGCAAAATGGCCAGACCTCCCACCAGCCGCGCCCTTCCCCTGCCTAACTCCTCTTACCCCTCTTCCCTATTATTTCCTTTCCCCCCATCCCAAACACACAATTCCCCCCCGCCCCCCCCCCACCCCCGCCCACCCCCTTGGCCCCCCCCCCCGCACCTGAATTGCCGCATCCAGCACCCTCATCACCGCAGTGGGGGTGGCCACCTTGGCTGCCGCGATGGCCCCCGCGGCGCCCTTGAACCCCTCCCGGTCCAGGGCGTCCGCAGCCGCCAGCACCAGCAGACGGCAAGAGTCCACATCCAGTCTGTGTGTGGTCGCGTGTGTGTGTGTGTGTCGGGGGGGGAAGGGGGGGGGGAAAAGGGGAAATTGTATGATGACAATGGTGATGATGATGATGATGATGATGATAATGGTGATGATGATGACAATGGTGATGATAGTGGTGATGTTTGTGATGCAAATGCCAAAGGATCAACTACCGGCGTCCGAAGGTGAAGAAGAGGTCAAGGAGAAGAAGGGGGGTAAGAGAGGCGGGTAAGACGGGCGGGAAAAGGGGATAGCAGTGCAGGAAACACACACCCTTCCCCCGGCCCCCCTCTATCACCATCACCCGCGACTCTGCCAGAAGTGGATTGGGCACCTTGCCCTGTGTTTTGAATCCCTCTCCCTCTTCTAACCCCCTCCACCCCCCCATCCTCCACCCCATCCCATCCCCCACCCCTCCACCAACTCCCCACCCCACCCCACCCCTCTCCACCCCGACCCTCCCACCTCCCCACCCCACCCCACCCCACCCCTCCACTCCACCCCTCCACCCCACCCCTCGCCCCACCTGCACCTAGCCAGGGTAGCTCTGAAGGCGCCCTGGTCCGCCAGGGGCCCCCCGAACACGCGCCTCCCCATCGCCCTCTCCGCCATCAGCTCCACCGCCCTCTCCCCCGCCCCCACCAGCCGCATGCAGTGGTGCAGGCGACCGGGGCCCAGACGGCCCTGCGCTATTTCGAAGCCGCGGCCCTCCCCCCAGATGAGGTGGGAGGTGGGGACCGTCACGTCGGAGAAGTGG